TGGACATTGTCACAAAGCAGCTTTACAGATTTCCCAGCCTAACCCCCCAGTGAGCAAGCCTAAGGCGACAGAGGCAAGGAAAAAGTCCCTAGACTAAAGTGGGAAGAGACCTTGAGAGGAATCAAGGCCCGAAAGGGGGGAGCCTATCCTCCTCTGGCTGGCACCAGGTTAAATTAGAATGAACACATATGAGAGTCGTCTGTATTCTATTACATGGTGGGAAAAGCACAATATTGTATGATAATGTCCAACAGTGTCCCGGAATGTTCAATTGGTTTCCTTCAGTTGAGATTTCTCTGGAAAGGGCTTTGTAGAGGACTTTCAATGCAAGCTGATGTGGCAGTGTCCGGACAACTTTCAGAATGGTCGTCTGCAAACCGTTTTGGCTAGATTGAACCATAGAAATGGCAGCAGGGTGAGGAAACTTTAAATTCTGAATCTTTAATTATAGACATTGCTTTATTGTATTAGTTCTCTCATCTGCCATCTCTTTCTCTGTATTCAAAGTCCTGGTCCAGAGCAATGCAATGTGCATGAGATGTTCAAGAACCCATATCTTGTGAGTGTGTGTCTCCCCTGGTGTAAAAGAAGTGTCTACACTTCTTTTAACTAAAGAAGGCTTTCTTCTGAATTGTCATAGTTTTTTTTTCTATTTAGGAATAGTTCTTAAACTACTTTGGGCTTTTAGATAAAGGAATTGATCAAGTGCATTACTTATTGCTTCTGTCTGAGTCCACAAGCCAGGTCAATGAATATTCCTGGTAAAATAACCAGTGGTGGTTTTACAGGCATTCCGAGTGCTGGAGAATTCGGGGAGTACGAACAATGTGACCAAGCATGATTTTATGGAACATCACAGGGCTTGGTGCTGCTCCACACAGGCTGAAAAAGCGATCTGTGGAGTGAGCCGGATCTGGGTGTTCAGCTTGATGCGCAGACAAAAGATTGGCACCCGCTTGGTGGACGTTGTCAGGTAGGAGCCAGTGCTGGCGGTGTCTGGGGCTGGCCGGAGATCACTCAGTTGCAGTGTGTTCTCAGCATTGCCTTGCCAAAAAGCATTAATGCTCTCAGGAGTACATTTGTTTGCTTGTTTCCTGGAGAGAGTTATTGTATGAATAAGATGGTGTGCACGACAAAGTGCATTTCCTTATATTTCTTTAAAAAAAATGTTTCTGAATTTCTATAATATAGCATTTCTTAATATTTTTGGTGGTATAACACCTGTTTCTTTTGTTCTAGCTCAAGTGTGTTAGGTGAAATATCTTTTTAAAAGACATGTCCATAATAAGTGTCCTCTGTTTCAGAAACACCTTTATGTATGGAAGCCTCTTGACTAAAGAAGAAATTGCATTCTCTGATCCTACACCAGATGGAAAACTCTTTGCTACAAAATACTGTGAAACACCAGCGTTTTTAGTTTATAATTTTATTTAAATGTATACTTGTTCACAGACTACATGACAAAATGCTGATAAAGAGTCCGTTTTAATTTCTGAAACCAGTTCTTTGTATGGCATGTTTAGTTTTTGCTGCAAAACATTAAACAGAGAAAAGGTAATTTTGCATTTAAAATCAGTTTGTCAATGGTTTAGTGTTTGAATTAAAACAGCTGACAGAATATAGATATGTTTTTAGATTGAGAACTACAGATTGTCTTGGCTCAGTGTGATCCTTTTGCACAAGTTTTTAAAAGATAGAAGACTAGTTTTTTTAGCAGTTACCATGTACATAACGTTAAGAACATTAGAAAAATTGTCATTGTTAAAATACTGAATTGTTTGTAAAATCTTAATTTGTATTTTTTGTTGTAAATACTTTAAATAAAAGCTTTTAAATGTAAAAATTTATTATGCAGGTGTTATCCAAAAATCACTTTTAAAGATGAGTCGATATATTTGTATAATTGAATAGGTCTGAGAATCTCACCTTAAATCTAGCATCATTTTTGTTAACACGGCTTGGTAGCTTGTTCCAGATATTTCCAACTCTGTCAGAACATGCCTCCTGTTCTTAATTTTAAATTCAGTTCACTGTAGTGTTCACTTGTCATCTGGTTCATGTTTCACTATTGATTCTAAAAAGCCGAGTTGACTTTTGTCAGGGCCCTGGAGGATATTATTTAAAACTGATGGTTTAGGCTGGTCAGTGTAGGTTTTTTCTGAGTCAGGGAAGGTATATGCTTGCTCTTGTCTGGATTATAGAGCAGCAATATTTCACCACTAGTTTCACCGACATTATCACTCTTTGTGGGCTATGTAGAAATATATTGATTAGTCTACTCCTGTAGTTACAGCTTGCAAATCTGGTGTCACATATTCAGACAGCAGCTGAGGTTGGAGGTTGGGTTAGCTGGCCAGAACTCTCTGTCCTTGACACAACATGGCTTCTATTGGACCTCCTATACAGGGTTGTGTGCTGTTTTTTTTTTTAATGAACGATGTGTAGGTGGGGGAGTCAAAGGAGTTTTTTTTGTTTGTATTTCCTAATCTACACATGTAGTTACAGGTTTCCTAGGTGTTAGTTTGAAAACAAGATTCCAAATTGGATGGGTATATAAAGTTTACAAAAGTGATACAGCCCTTAGTAAATGTTTGGAAACAAGCTTTTAAAACTAAATATAAAACAAAATTTGACCACAACAGTATTCATGAGCTATTAGTTAAAAATTATTTATTACTATCGTATAACTTAGTAATAATAATGACAGCTGTAAACTGAGCTTTGCTTTACCTTTCCTCCTGCTGCATCCAAAGCATAACCATGTCCCACAGTGCACACCTACTGATGTACTATTCCTCAATGAAAGGCATTTTGCTTTAATTAATGTATGACTTGTATATTTATCAGTTTTTATTTTTTATTGGACAGTTAGTTACATAAATGATAGTAAAGGAAGAAAGAACAAGTATATGACATGAATATTTCTTATTGACAAAAACACATAAAATGACAAACTACACAAATCATGTTAAAAAGGAATAAGTAGCAACCTGGAGAAGTAATTGCCTGTTCATTGTTTCATGATAATTTAATTATAGTTGCTAATAAAGCAACTAAAGTAAGCATAAAAAAAATCTTAGTACAGCAGAAAGAAAAGTAGGGCTTTAAGGCTTAAACAAAAAAAAAAATGCAGTTCAGCATGTTGTAAACATCAAATTTGAAATATTAACCATTTGAGATATTATGACACAATAGTTAAGAAATGACAATCACTTCATTCTTGAAATCTTGGTACTCGGCTGACTCAAGCACTTCAATAATCTGTGCTGCAGAGGGGCGCCTTTTGGGGTCTTCCTCAGTGCACATGAGGAAGAGCTCAATCATCTTCTGGTGGGACGCATCCAGATTCTCCATATCAAGAGCCGGCCGGGTTCCCAGAACTGCATAATATGCATCCTCATCAAAAGATTCTTCTTCTGGTTAAAAGAGTAACAAAATAAGACAGGTGAGTGTTTGTGTAAGTACCTTACAGGAAGAGAGTATGTTCATAGTCGGAAAAAAATTGATCTCTAGAAGAAATACAGAAGGGGCATTTTTCCTTGGTTTTATACTTCAGTATTAACAACACGAACCAAAATTAAAAATTATAGTTCAAGGAGATAGCTGTGTCAGTATGCGTAGGCTGCAAAGGGACAAGTAAAGGTTTATTCCATGCTGAAACGAGAAGAAAGGAACATGTGAAGAAGGCTCCACAGCTGAAATGCTGCATTTCCTTTCTTCTCTTTTCAGCATGGAATAAACCTTTACTTGTTCCATTAAAAATGATATTTCACAAAATTCTTCTAACAGTCTGAAGAAAAGCAAGTTGAAACAAACAGAAGTTTAGTTTAGGCTGAATAATATTTTTTAAACGCTCAATGGCAGAGGTGTGTACGATCAGCTGTCTCTTATGTTAAAAAAACTCTCGGTCACCTTCATCGTCATACTCAAGACACTCCAGATGAGGTACAGATAAGGTCATCATTTCCCACAGCGTCAGCCCATAGGCGAAAATGTCTGACTTATCTGTAATGACACCGTCTTCCAAAGCTTCTTTGGGTTTCCAGGGTTCAGTGCCAATGTAAGTTGCTTTGGGATTGCTCACTAGAAAATAAGGAAAGGTGTTTTGTACCAAAACATTAATACATTCTACTCCTGTTGATTATTTTTCCCGTAAAAAAACAGAAATACAGCCATTGAAAACTATACTGTATATTAAATCCAAGTTGAACTCTTTACAGACTATCGTGTAAGAGACTGGACACCTGCTTTAGATCCAAATCCTTGGATGTTCATTACCATCACATTCATGCCTTCAGGCATTAAAGCAAAATATCACTTTCATGCACTGATTAAGGAACATAATCCAGTGCTCAGAATATGCTTGCCAAAATTCTGCATACTTTTCCCCACCTAGCCTCAAAAAGACAGACTTGATATTTGCAGACATGGTTAATAAAACCATGAGAAAATACTGCTGTTCGCCACATTCTTTAGTTTTTATGTTCCAAGAAATTGACTACTGAGATTAATTGTTTAATATCATACTGACTTTTAATCAAGCAGCATCCCTTTAATGAAAATTTGTTAAAAGGTCTATCAACTATTTCTTTATTCTGTATAGGTTACTTGGTAACCAGCTTACACCTCATATGAATTGCAGAAATGTTTTTTTTTCCCCCCAACAAAGACTTTCTTAAATGTATTGGTTGGTTTTGTTACATTTTTATAGTGTTTGCTATGTTGCCTGTTGTTAATGTAATTGTGATCAAGATGAAACTTCTCCCCCTGCTCCCACTATAGAGGCAGACTGAAAACAATGTACAGAAGGTATTCTAGCAGGTATATCGGCATTAAGAAGATGCATGGTTTGCATTTTGAAAGAAACTTACAAACAATAGCTTTCAACTCTACTTGAGGATTATACATATAATACATATAATATGGCCAGGACTGCAATCTGTTTTAATGATTACCTTCTGAACTATAACATTAGGAAGAAAATCCAATCTTGAATTATAATCACAGGTAAATTAGAACCCTTAAAGTACAGGGATACTGTTGACGCTAAGAGTGAAATTCCAAAGTGGTTTATGGAAAAATAAGGCACAAGTAATTTGGGGTACCACAAGACTAAGACAGGTTTGGTTAGATCATAGGTTCCCAATCCTGGTCCCGTGGACCCAACACTCCTGCTGGTTTTCTGGTCCACCTGACATTGTCCACCTCAGTTATTTAACTCAGTTAAATAATTGAAACCTCAGTATCCTAATTTTAATTTGAAAACAATTGCTTTCAGTTACTAAACACGTGGGACTGGAAACCTTAGATTAGATGAGTACATTAAGTGTGTATATTAATAGTAAGGACATACAGTATAGGTTGGAATACACTGGAAAATATCAACATGGAAAACAGTAATTGGAAACATGATAAAATAATTGGACATAATATTAAAAATCTATTCATTATCACACTGCTGCTAATTCTTGGTAAGGGGCATGGCAGTATACCAATCTACTGCAGGATGTCGGGACTTGATTGAGGGCCAGATACAAAATAGTGCCAGTTTTCAGTATAGTCATACTTCATTGTGTTTTTTTTTTATTTATTACAGTATTTTGTAGGGATTCCTAAGGTGGCAAGCTGAAGGGGTTTGTGTAAGGCAATGCCCCTATACAGGTGTTATTTATACTGACATTTTCCAATGCAATGAGAAACTACATAAAAAAAACACTTCAGCCCAAACTACAGTTGGCGAACTATTTGACACATTTTCACCTCTCACTGACTGGAAGTACTAGACTGAATCCAGAATATTGTCATCTATACTGGAGAGAAGATGGACCTCAGCCACCGTAGAAGCTGTTTGATCACGTATTGCGAAAAAATCTTTGATATGATGAGAGTTTTTCTGGCACTGCTTTACCTGATTGAAATTAATGTCGACACTTTCTCATAAATCAGTGCATGGATCAAAAACACAAATACATTTGCTGAAGTACAAACCAAGTAAATGTACATTCCTGTCTGACAAGGGCATCTGCAGGGTTGTAAAAATAAACAGCCCATTCAGCCAAAACAATAACAGATGTTTGGCAGTTTCCTCTTTCCGTTAACAAAGCCAGGAACTTTGTTAAGGAAAATTGATTTTGTTCTCCAGCATAATTTCCTAAGATCACACTTTCATGCCAAAGAAACAAGACTAGTAAGATGGGTGTGTAAACTTAAAAGTGGTAACAATCAAACATTACTGTAAGTGGACACTTCAAAGCGGTTTAAAAAATACAGAAAAGAAAAGTTTTTGAAGTTCCCATAGAGTACAATTTCACCTTAACTACAAGAAAGTGCTAACATATTAATCTTATTTGTAAATCTACACCTCAATTCTGTTACCCATCACTGTCAAATTTCTAAGCTAATGCCTACAATACACATTTGTAATTAAAATGCCTGGAATTTCACTAGTATTTGCATGACATTTGGAGAACTCTAGGCTGTTCCTAGTGCTTCAATTCAAATACAGGACGGAGGTCTTTATGCAGCAAAACCGCCAATGCACAAAGGTGTTCATCAACACCAAGACAGTGGCATGAAAAATAAGAAAATGGGAGGTTCTATCTGGTTAAACCTAGATAGCAGGCAAGGCCACAGAATGCTATTGCATAATGTTTAGACCCTAGCCTAAACAAAAATGAACCTCTACATTGAAATATTACATACCTGTCATGTTTTCATCTAGTTCAAGTGAAACTCCAACATCACAGATCTTAATGGTTTCAAAGTCTCCTTTGACTACAATGTTACAGGACTTCATGTCTCCATGCAAAAGCCTCTTCTCGTTATGAAGATACTGTTAGAGAGGAAAAGAAAAAGTTCTCTGAACTGAGCTACTACTGCTAAAGTAATGTCTTAAATTAACAAGTGTACACTCTCCCTCAAGTATAGGAACATACATTTCTAAGTGGCACCACACCGTAATTCTCATGTTGTGAACAAACATAACACAGTGTGAACAGCCTCACCAAAATATAAACAAATAATGTTATAATCAAATAGTTTTAGGGGAAGCCAGAAGGATGACATAAATACATCCTCCTAAAAAAGCTTTTCTGACATGCCATTTTTTTCACAACTTTCTAAACATGGCTAAAACTATGTAAATAGATGAATAAATAGATACCTACATACAAGTAGATCTTGAACTTCAAAAAGTAAAGAAAATGTCTAAGAACTGCATAGCTTCCATCATAACAGCAAAGAAAATAAAACGACTTTAATGACATTTTATACAAGTTTTCATACACTATAGTTATTTTGGACAAGTACTCGCAAAAAGGTTTTATCAAATAAAAACCAGTCTACACCTTGAGGCCACGAGCCACGTGAAGAGCCACTTTTTCAATTACAGAAGCTGGGAAAGCCCTTTTGCCTTCCTCCCTCCTCTGCTCAATCAGGTCATTCAGAGACTGCTCCCCGCCATACTCCATAGCCAGGCACTTTGAACCATCGGGAGCAATAGTGAAAGCACGGAACCCTTATAACACAAGTCAAACAGGTTTATTAGTTGGCATAAACAATTAATAATTTATTTCCTGTCGTGCGGTGCCATGCTTTACGGAAGCATTTAATTCAATTCACATTTCAGACACTTTATTGCATTTGTTTTACAGACATGCAAAAGACGTTTACAAGACGAGCTGGTAGACATCTTGGCAGGAGCCGTTTTGGTAAAATGGGTAATAAAATGTATGGGGAAAAAAAAACATTTGCAAAATAATGAAAGAAACCCAACAAACAAGGAAACAGATGAAAACCTATGCATTTACATATACAAATGGAGATTGGCAATGGTAAATGTGTAGCACATAATATAAAAATCCATATGCATAGTACTAAGATTTGAAATTATATTAATTAAAACTATTTTTTTGCTCTGAACCTTCTTCTAAAATTCTCCAGTGATCTGTGTTTTAAGGGTAAGCATTGCTTTTCATTAATTTCAAAAATATCCATTACAGAATAAAATTGAGAGTTACCAGGACATTTATAAAAAGTAGTCAGTGCAATGTTTATCATTCAAATAGACAACTGGAATTTTGACTGATTTAACTCGAGAACTACATAGGTAATGAGACTGCTGGCATTTTGAAATAGAAAGGTTTGAAAAATTACACTTGCATTTTAGTATTGAAATACGTAGATTTTAAGCATAAAAAAGAGGAAAGGCTGAATTGTCAGTTCTGCACTGACATAGTGAGGACATTTCTCGGGTGCTTACCAACTATGTTGGGATGCTGTAATGTTTTTAGAATCTGTGCCTCAGCAGTCAGCCGCTTGCTGTAGACATTCTGCTGGGTTTTTGCACAGTGGCTATTGATCTTCTTGACTGCCCATGGAGACTGAGTCTGGCTACCTGTTCTGAAATAAGAACAATGCAAAAACAAGTATCCCTATTACTTCTGCTTGAGATATTCATTTTTTGATCAAGGCACCATTTTTAATTTTATTTCTTAATGAAAACTACAACATTGAGTTGCTCTTTACCTTGTCTTGAATGAACAACTGATAGTTTAAACTTGTCATTGGAAGGAGATGACACATTTTAACACCTTGTTTCCAAACATGTTTAAATTGTATTTCTTCCTTTAGTTAACATCCAGTTCATTTTTATCTGTGTGCTTTTGTTTAGCCAGTAATTAAACAAGATCTGCAGATAAATGTTAAACAGTATGCAACATATACATGGCTTAAAAAACACAACTGCAGTGTTGAAGGTCTTAATGTTTTGTAATCATGTGGAGATCACTCAAAAAAGTATCAAATTCAGTTGAAATTGACATTTTACTTATAGACTAATAACAGAAAACCCTAATAATAATAAACTAACAACAGTTCTCTTGTTGTTTAGCACTAAAATAAACATCTGCTATACCTGTTGATACCTAAATAAAATCTTATTTCTAACAAGGTCCCTCTGACCTAGTCCCTCTGCAAGGGGAACATAATCTGAAATCCTATCTAGCAGAGCTTCACATTAATAAATTGAAGTTTCAACACCATCTGTAAATGGGAACTACAGTACCTATTCATTTCACCTTATTGCACACATCTACAAACCTTTTCATAAGATATACATTCACCCCAGTTCCACATCCAAGTTTTTTCATGAAAGGAGATGCAGGGATTGTTATATTTCTAGCCCTAGGGGATCCATCTGTTCCAAAAAGAAAACCAAACAACAACAACAACAACAACAACAACAACAAAAAAAGTCATTCTGCCTTTCTTCCTCCTGTACTTTATGTAACAAATATCTACCTTACAGCATTATTTTCTTTTTGAAGTAATAAGGGCAATTAATTAGTAATAAGGGTGATGAAATTCACTAGAGAGGTAAGTCTCAGGTCACAGAACCTAAGTTCTTCACATCTGGGTAATAGTTACATATCCTGAGAAGAAACAAAGCACAGAGAACAGTGATTAAGTAATGCCAAAATGTCTGCATTTAAAAGATACCTAAAAATATCCCCTTTTTAGTCTTAATGATTTAATGATTACACTGTTTGGGTCAATTTCAGCTTGTCAATTACATTTCCTTTATTTTTTAAATTATAGAATGAAATAGATGCACTGAAATGTATCACAACTCTACTAAACTGAACTTTTTTTTCTGTTGTTCCTGTTTGCCATCAGCTAATCCAAAGACCTTTTGTATACAAATATATTTACCAGTTGCTACAATTTCCATTAGCAGAGTTGGGTCTTTGTTATATATGTGATTGGAGGGACTAATTTACTTTTGTGCATGCTTATCACTTCATTGCTCTTTTGTGTGTTTGTGTATTGATCTAGGTTACAGCTGAGTTAGGTCTAGTCTTGTAAAAGAACTAATGGCAGCCCTGTCTCTAATTGTTTTTTTTTTATATGTACTGTAAGCAAATAAACGTAACAAGCAGCAAAATACATGGGGATGGCATTTTTACTAGTATATTCTTTCCAGTAGCTTGGTAGGCACCTAGTATGCTGCCAGTAAAGACATTTGATCCAAAAAAAACTAAACAAAACAAGGTCGTGCTGTTGATGTAAACCCCTAAAGGATTCAGAAAAACAATAGCATCTGTTGGACGTCTCTTCATTACGTAAAATGTAATACACATTTAAAACCACTGATGCAGTTGCTCCTGGAATTTGTCAAAATATTGAATCATACCTACCAGGCATAAACTTTTTTTTGCCAGGGGTCACAAATGTGTTTGCCGCCTCCATGCCGTTTGGAATTACAGTGCCGCTGGGGATAAAACAAGAAAATATTTGTACTTTTTGGAAAAATTACACTATAATTACACATTATACTGTCACAATCTAACCGCCAAATAGAAAGTTTCGATTTCGGGGCTGGCCTTACTTGTATTTAACAGGGGGGTAATCTTTGTACTGAATTTTGATTCAGTCAAAAAAAACTTGTTGTTCACAATAACATTCTCCAATGGACTGGAAAACAGAAAGATCTACGGAAATTTATTATACACATTCAGTTTCGTCACATTCGCAGAAAACACAGTGAAAGATCAATGCAGTTACTGCACAGAGCCGATTTTATAGCCGAGTCTTACATCGTTCGGGCTTGTTATTGTTAAAATTGTTAATTGAAATCTGTTGAAAGTAAGTTTATTTTTTGTCTCGATTCAGAAAAGTACAAGTGAATAAAGTGATCCATACAGTTTCGTTTATAAAAACGCAAGCTAATAAAGAACTTCAATCACATTGGATACGATAGCAAAAATAACTGTTTTCTTCACAACAGAAATATTTGTCATTACTTTATATTATTACAGGTTTGAATGCTATTATGTTGCTCCTTTCACGTATTTATATAAAAACACAAGTCAATCCCACTTACCAAGATCTTCCTTTGTCTACAAAATATTCTGGCGCGCCTACTTTCAAATCTTTAGTTTGTATCACATGGGCACCAAACGGCGGCTGAACAAGGACAAACACAGCGTGGCTTGATGTGAAAATGAAATTGTTTCACTTTTCACTCGACGGTTTGCTTTTTTCAATTTCGGTTTGTTGTGTGTCTTCTTCCTGCAGTCTATTCCAAAAATAAGAGAATGATTCTCTGGCAGTTGGAGCAGTGCGAAGGAAGTCATTACAGGTTTCCAGTCCTAAAACAGAGTGAGGTACGAACTGCTAATGACACTCCTGCAATCCACTAATGTGCTAATAAACATGAAAAATCTGAGTCAAAAAGAATGACATCTATAAAGTAAGACATGCAAAAGACAAACTGAGGATGATACTGCAGCAGTACGTAAGAAACTTCAGATTTGACCCCGGAGAGTCCATTGTATGATAAAAATGCCAAGATAGACAATGATTGATTTTTCAAACAGAAAAATATATATTTCCCTTGGAAAAAATAAAAAAGGTTGCTCTTAAACGTTTCAAATTTAGTGTAAAAGTCCAAGTTTAGAGCGGAATTAACGTGAGAGGCACAGATTAGCAAAAAAAGTTCCATGCTAGAAAAATAAAAACATATTTTTCCGCTTTTGAGGCTTATCCAGATGCTCAATGCTGTTTTACGACTTTTGATAATGTACCTAAATCAAATTTCCTCAAAATATCTTTTGTCCAAAACTTCTTTACGTAATCTTTATCTTGCGTAACCATTGTGAAGCAATAAAAAAATGCAAAATGTTCACAGGCAGTGTACAACGAGAAAAAAAAGAAGTGTTTTTATTGTGCAAAGAAGTTTAGAGTGATTAAAGAATAGCAACAAATTTAGACTGGATTTTCCAAAAGTAGACGGTGCAGGAAACACTCAACACTAAAAAACAATATGTAATAAAGTCAGGTTCAGGGCGCTTTTTACAGGAGTTAAAAGAGGTCTTTTGTCTAAAATGTCTATATAGATTTATAAAAGCTTGTTCTTCCTCACATCTAAGTAATAATAGTCATTTTCACCAAAAGAGGGCAGCACTCGTCTAGGTATCAAAATATTTTAACATGATTTTCTACCATTTCTGAACACTTGCGCAGTAATTCTTAACTGGTGGGCAAAAGTAGTTACTGTTTTATGAGTACAACAGTAATTGTCATTGCATGTAACTACCTTCAACTCGACTACAAGAATAAAAACACAGGATTAATTGCACTCAACCAATATTCTTTTTCCTCAATTACCATTGCTAAAGCAAATTACAAACTCCGGGTTTCAAAGAATATTACAGTGTATCATTGTCTTGAAGTCAGAAGCCACAAGTCAGGTACCTTATACGTCGTAGTAAGAAAATGTTTTGTATTGCAGAAGATAGCATTTGCCCAGCGCAAGCTGAAAAAGAGAGGCCAATGCTAGGGTTTCTAGCATGAAATGGATTAGACTGGCTAATAGGCGTGTGGGACTCAAGCCCTGACCTGCCGGTATTGGTTTCTAGAGGAGTGGGATACTACCTGGCAAGGCAGCAATGTAGCTTCTTATCACAGTCAAAAGAGAAGCAGTTTGGACAAAAGAAGTTCAGTCACAAGTACAACCTCGTGTCCTAAGAACTGCAGACAGACCAGCTGCTACTGTCAGAGATGCCAGATTCTAGAGGATATAAGAAAACAGGATCAGTCAGGAGAAGAGTAGCGAAGAGAAGAGTGAGAGGTAAAGAAACACCAAGAGTGTGGAAAATTTTAAAAGTGGCAGAGAGAAGATTTGAGTTTAGTGTTGAAAAAATGTTTGTGAAAAGAAAGAGCACTGGTTAAGGCAGAGTACGTCTAAGCCTAGTGATGAAACAGTATAAGAGAAAGATATCTGGGTGTCAGAGAATCAGAATAAATACCCCATTGCCTAGAGTAAAAGAGTTTGTGAGAAGATAGTGAAAGAGAGTTTGATGTGTGATGAAAAAAGAACAGGAAAGAGTCCTCTCCGTTTTTCCTAGAAGGGATCAGTAAAAGCGACTGAGGATGCTGGTGAAGGCCCAAACAAAATAGTTGAGAAAAGGCAGGCCACTTTGCATACCAAAAGATAAGGTAACATGCTGTGTAGTTTATAGTGTGGATGAGAAATGTAAACAATGTATTTTTCATAAATTCTCATTATTTTTTAAGTAGGCCATGAACATTGTGACACATACAGGTCAGTTTCAAGAGGTATGTATATCTGTATATCTGAGATAAGATCACTTTATTGGCCATACAATTTCTTGTATTAGGAATTTGTATTTTTGCATACCCCAACTTGGTCTCCATGAGACACACAGACAGGGAGAGAAGCTTGGGGTCAGAGCACAGGGTCAGCCATTTATACAGCACCCCTGGAGCAGTTGGGGTTAAGGGCCTTGCTCAGGGGCACAACAGAGTAGGATTTATCTGCCAGCCGTGGGATACAAACCGGCACCCTTCCAGCCACGGGTGCAGACCCTTAGCTACAGAGCCACCGCACCGCCATGAATCCTGGCTAGAGATCATCTGTCATATATCTTTTGACAGAACCAGAGATATCTACCAATGAATCATAATCTGTCACACAAGGTGACCATACACATGATGACTACGACCACCTGTGGTGAACTGATTTAAAAGTTCTAGCACACACAGTTGGGATGATCTCTGAAATCCTGACAGCTTGTCAACCAACTATTGATGTGACTGTGCTGTCTGAACCACACCTGAAAGTAACTGCAGGAATGAAACACTGTACATAACCAGATTTGTCTCCTAGACTTCATATGCAATAAGAGACATTTTGTGACAAGCTTCCAATTGTAATTTCAGCTGGAAGGTCAAGAAACGAGGAGGATGATTAGAGGATACCTATAGGCCAAAGACAACTTTCAAAGAGCTACAGTCCTTTATGCTCAAGACTGTGGCTCAAAGTGAACAAAGTGTGTATGTGACAACAATATCCCAACATCTCCACAATTTTGGCCTAAATGTCAGGTTGGCAAGAAGGAAGCCATCACTCAGAAAAACTCACCTTGAATCCCATTTAACTTACTTAGCCATGTGGTAAAAAAGTTTTGGGTTTTATTAAATAAAATAGGACTTTTATTTTTATTTGTAAATCAAAGTGGGACATTTTGCACTAACCCAACACAACATCCAACCCATGAGCACCATCCCTACTGTGAAGCATGGTGGTAGGAGCATCATGTTATGGGGGCATTTCTTATCGGTAGGGTCTGTGAAACTTGTCAGGAAAAATGGGAAAACAAATTGAGCAAACTACAGAAAAGTCCTTGAGGAAAACCTGTTGCCTCCGGCAAAATAGCTGAAACTGGGATAGATGTTCATCTGTCAACATGACTTAAAGCACACAGCCAACCCTGCACTGGCATGATTTGAAGACTGCTGTCCATCAGTGCAAGAAAAACTTGATAGAGCTTGAACAGCTTTGTAAAGAAGAATTTCAGTTTTTTATTTCCATCCATTCATACAGGGTTTAGTGTTGGGATCATTGCATTTTATTATTTGTCTTCAGTTTCATTGTTATGCAGATGATGCTCAGATTTATCGTAAAACATCTTCCCACTCTGATATTTTGCCTCCGTCACTTATTCTTGTCCACATGGCATCAAACTGTGGTTGACATCAAATTCCCTGAAGCTATATAGTGAAATAGTGAAAGAGAGAAATTTCACTGGTGGGCTGATGTAAAAAAAAACCTGAGATCTTCACAGTAATGGTGGGTGGCTTCTCCATTCACTTGTCAACTGTTGTCAGGAATAATAATAATAATAATAATAATAATAATAATAATAATAATAATAATAATAATAATAATAATAATAATAGTCAACTTACAGTAAAACAATATTGATTAAATTATTTCCTACAGTACCTAAAAAGAAAATTATTGAATGAAAAGAGCAGAACAGTGGAATAGACCTATACAGATGTATAGTCTGTGCTATTGCTGCCTTTTGTCAGGATCTGATCACAGTGATTCCCTGGCCAGTTTGCTCAACTAGTGTATACAGTATAACTATATTGCTCAACAAGATAGCAGCTATACACCTAAAGTACCAGCTTTGACATTAATATCAACCTTATCTGGAAGCCCCAGAGTCTCTGGCATCTAGTGGATTCTCTCTCCAGGAGGATAACATGACAACTCAGGCATTTATTCAGACAGTTTTGATCAATATGTCTGCACAGTACCGGCTGGTTATCTCTAACAAGCAGCTCACATTATGCTGATTTCTGGAAATCCCCCTCTGCACTTTTCAGACAATCCCCAACAAACTCCCTATGGATCAACATTTCTTATTTCATTTTCCCAAACAGGCACAAGTTAGTCACTAACAATTATCTGAGTACATTAGTAAAACACCACAGTCAAAAACATAACGGTGCAATTCAGAAACCATACTTTTTTAACTTATGTTTGTTTAACTCATGACTTGTTCTGATATTTAATGAAACTCAGATTTTGTGATCTGATTTTGTTGTGCTATTTGCATTTTTTCAGGTTGTGAAAATGAGCATTTAGGAAGGGCATACATAACACTCTTACTGTGAAATATGCGTGCGTATTTAAAAAGTATGTTGCACATACTGTATAGTACAGCACAAAGAGTAAGTACCTTCACTTTCTATATGTTAGGCTGACAACACAAACAAAGGGAGAGGGTAAAGAAGAAGATGAAACTCACATACTGTACATCAATCACAGGGTCCTTATAATGTGGTCATTATGTAAAAGAATGAAGGTGGCGAAATGTTTGAAAAGTTATGGAAAATTTGAGAATGCGACTAAAACATTTGTGTTGATTTACAAAACCAGCACTTTCTTTGTGGTGTAATAAGATGAATTGACTCTCATGGTTTATTTTCCAATTCGGTCATTTAGAGAGTTTAAAGCTGGTGCAATGCAAATATTATATCTTCAACTGTGTCTGATGAGGACTCTCATGCTATCCAAAAATGAATTACTCAGATGTGCTGGTTTACTTTGAAGAGCTGCTTCAGAAATGTCAATATAATGAAGCAGATCCTTAAATGTTGTTCTTTAACCAAACTGATATGTAATTCCATTGCCCTCACTTGTTATATGTTAGACTGTTGTACTTTTTAGCACAAGCAACACTGACAAATAAAACAGGTCATTAACTATTGCCTGCAAGACAAAATAACAGTGCTCTGTCATAATTCACTGCTTCTATTAAGGTAATTAAAAGGGAACTTTTTTCTGTTCTTTTGTAAGAAAACGCCCTGATTTATTTATCATATGTATGTTGCCATTCTATTAGAACTCCCATTTTTGCAGACAAGCAAATTCCGTTCCATCACAGCTGCATTCTCTGCAACTCTTTCTGCAAAACAAAGGCTGCAAAGGACAAATTAATATCAGAGAAAAACGATAACTCTTTCTTTAGGCTTTAATCCAACTGCTATCTGTGAGTCATTATAAAATAAATGTCTTCTTTAGTGCTGATCTTATCCAGGGCCTGATTTAAACCTCTGTGGATTAGTTTAGGTAGGTTTGTTTCAAAGACACACTAAAACTCAGTACATCTAATATGTAAAAATTAACTTTTGTGTATGTGACCGTGGAAACGTAGGTCTGAACAATGGTCAGCATTTTTCTCAATGAAATGAAAGGGAATGCTTGTGTGTGCTTCTCCATAAAGAAAAGAAACAGTTCATAAATCTCTGCCACTCCGATCAGTGAGCCCCATCACACATTGCACATACAGGCCTCATTAACTTGGTTCTTTGAAATCATGCCACAAAAAACAGTGTTGTTCACCATTTCTCTATAAGCTTTGGATGCCAGAAAAGCAGTACCCATTGTTTTGGACTCGCAATATTCTCAATAGGAGTTTTTATTGGTCACCTCTCAGATGCAAAAATATGTTTTGATCAGTAACTTAACCTGGAGTCATAGAGGGAGCCATAACTAATAATAAAATAACACCGGAGTGTCTGGCAACAGAAATGCAAACAAAGCCTATTCCAAATGTCCTGTTTTCCAATGGCCTTTTAATATAAAGTAATAACATTAGTTTATTGTCTGAACTGTATGCCTATTCAACATTTTGTTTACAAACTGTACCTCTAATTGAAATCCATAGTTATTCACATATATGAGGACTGAAACCGGTTATAAAATTAACTTTATTCTGGTGAATTCTTTCATTCCTTACACATTAGTTACTTTTCTTCATCCTTTTCATATTTTGAAATTTGATATCCATCACTGTTGTACTGTGATTTACCAGCCTTTATTAATAACAAAATAAAAACATGTATTTACTGTTGAGACCACACCAGGAAGTGGTAAACATCTGCATTACTGATTTTCATTAATTATACTGAAACGTTCCCATCTCTATTCTTCATGTGGAAAAAGAAAAATTCTGTAAATGTTTAACATTCGCCAACACCAAAATACTTGATTACCTGCATTACAGCCTGCTTTAAAATGTAATTGCTTGAACTATAAGAAAAAATACAAATAATTTGCTGTGTCTCTGTTCACAATGGGCAAAGCAAGTGTATTAATTAAGGTATATTTTGTTTTCTGTCCATAGTATAAAAGGTACCTTTTTGAAACATATACAGTATATTTTATCACTTGTATTGTCTTCTTCAGTCATAGCCCTTTTGCTGTTAAGATACAGATCTCTAAGTACAAAGATACAATTTCATATATTTATAGTTCACTAAGAAGGTTTATTATGGTGTTGGAAGCTATTCAGGCTCTTAAATAACCTGTTTCTTGCAAAATCATTTTCATGATCAAGAGGGATAACAGAAAAACTCCAAAACCATTAACAAAATTATAATTAAATTGTAAAACAATAGCAATAATGTTACTCCAATGGTATTCTCATGACATTAAATTGAAATCTAAAAAAGAAAAAAAAAGTAATGGATTATGTAACAGCTATTAAAATATCTTTACTTGCAATTAGGAGAGTACATGTTTTCACTCAGATTTCTTTAAAAACCAAATACAAATGCATTAAGAACAAGACAAAAAATTAAAGCAGCACAGGAAAATTCCCAAGGCATTACCACTTGGAAAGAGGATATCCATAACAAAAAGTAAAACAATGAAAGACTTTATTGAAAATATTCAGGAAAGAAAAGTCACTGGTCCTTAATTTCCCTATGGATAAATTATGGGCATACTGCCCAGTCTATAATTAATGACACTGATGGGCAATTTGCCCAAATGGAAAACCAGGCCTACTGTCTTCGGCTATTAGGCTTTGTACACAGAAACATCTCTTAAATTGGCAAAAGAAAAAACATGATGAGCACAAAAAGAAGTGAAATACATGCAGAAATGAACGATGCTGGAATGATGAATTTGATTGGTGAAATCTCTTTTCAGAAAGACAAGGCGTCCAGCACTTGATTTATTTTTAAATTTAAAAAGTATCCCCTTGTAGCCTGACCTCATCAGTTCTCAGATGCTAAGCATGGCCATGGTCAGTACCAAGAGGAGAGACCTCTGAGGAAAAGGTGCAATAAGTGGTGTTGGTGCAGTAGTGGATGGAAGTCTTCCCATTAGACCAGAAATTTGAAAACTGTTATCCCAGTAAGGTGACCAGGGACACTGTGCTGTAGGAGCTGCTATCCCTTGAATGAGATGTTAAACCAAGGTCCTGACGACATGGTTTTTAAAGATACCATTGTTCTGTCCTTCCACCCTTGCCTTGAAGAAACTAAATTTACACTGTGTTGTTGGAGGTGACATCCTTTGGATAAGATGTTAGGCTGAAGTGAACACTTTTTGATGAGTCTGGGCCTATACAGTCTGGCCCTCCAAAAGTTTGGCGAAAGTTTTCATCCCTTCTAAAGCAGATGAAGTTGGTCTCCTCCAAAATGACCAGCACTCAGCCTTTGGGAACTATTAACTAAAATTATTAATTAGCAAAACTAGGAAAAAAATACATTTGTTGCCAATGGCAACAAAGTTCTTCTCATTTGTAAACTTTTTGATGTACCTTTTAAACTGAATTGATTTTTTGGAGAATATAAACACTTTCAGATAATCTTGGCTATATATTTTTTATATTTTGACTGTATAAGAATCATAATTACTGTAAATGCAAGTTTAGATTAAACAACTCTATTTAGACCTCAACAATGTACAAATATAATGATTGATAATCTAGAGAGTAGTTAAATCAATTACTGTATGTTTTTGATTTCCTCTTGAGGTAATCTGGTCCTGGTTTTGTTATACTAATACGTTTATAGTGTGTTTTTTTTGTTTCAAGAGCTTTAATTCTGAACCTTCAGAAAATCAAGTTGATTTCAAGTATTTGTAATGTGAATAACTGCCTATTAACTTCAACTACATACACTATATTACAATGTGAAGTCCAATTTACGGCACTTTTTCTTCAAATATTTGCTTTTTGTTTTTCTGCATGTAAAACCAAACCCCTATGTTCTAACTGACTATTTATTCATGGGCTCTAGCTTTCAAGATGAAAACCACCCAAATGTTTTTAAATTTCTTATATGACTTACAGGTTTGTTACAATTAAAATTCGGCAATGAGAAGTTCAAATTATCCAGAAAGCCTGCTGGGCCCAGAAACAGAAATTACATGAATGGCGATTATAAATCTCATTGAAGTCATTGCATAAATATTTTTCAGTTAGGTTGGTATTTCCTTTTCCATTTGGTCCATAATTTCTCCTTTTCTAATCTTGTTTCTCCATAGATAACTATTATCTATTGAACATGGGTGGATGATACGTCACTTTGGTTCAATGTGTTGGTTATTGGTCATCTGTTGTTCATGAATTAAGGGTTACAGGTGACACCAGCATCCTCCACATGACCACAGTTAGTTTTTCCCCATCCAGAAAATCTGCACTGTTGGATTGAGTCCTCTGTCCCTATGCAGGCAACATCATCCATCCATATCATGCCAGAACCTGGGAGATAAAACAGATTTTAAGTATATCAAAAACAAAATAAAACCCAACTGGAAAACAAGAACCCTGAAGGGTTCCATATTTCTGCAAAATTTTGGTTGATGAGAAACATCCTTTCTGATGCTCTGAAAAATGCATACATTCAAAGAGACAAATAAAGTAACAAAGTTGTAGGTCGTATAAAAACGGAATCGCTTTTTTCTTCCAAAAATAAAATGGATGTAGTTGGTTTTTAATAATTAGTCTAGAAGGAAGTGATTTGGGCATCTGCTCCAACTTAAGTACTTTAGGACACTTAAAAATATATTACAATGGGAGACGTGCCGCAAGCCTTTTTTTAAAGCAATAATATGAAACAGAAATCTGGCATAGTTGCTAACGGCTCTGATGTTAAATGCCTCTAATGTTAAAAGCTTCAACTCAGCACCCAATGGCTCCAGAGAGCAGACATTTTGGATAACACACTGGGCTCTGTTATTGCTTCTCTGCTATGTAAAGGCTCCATAAAGGCAGCCAAGTGCCACCAGAGAAGATATCTGGCTAAGTCATTCATCCTGAAATATTAATTACATTTAAATTGAATTTGCAAAGAGCACAGAAATATAGTGGGAATAAAATAAATTACAACTTTAAATTCTAACAGGATTAAACAGTTAATTGCATTTCCACATTTACTTTATCCACATTTAAAGGCACAGTTTGTACATTAATTCATGGCTGTCCATCTCATGTTTATAATGTCAGTGATGGAATAATACCACTGTCATAAAAAATAGCCTTTCGGGAAGACCAACAAGGTTTTAAATAAAATCAACAAAATGTGATATTTGTGTTAATGCAGGCCCATTCCCCAATAATGTACTTTATCAGATCCGTATAAGCACTATTTTTGTGTTTTAACAACCTATGTTTCAACTGTAACAGTAACATTTGAGAAACTGTGTGTTTCTCAAGCAGGCAACCTAAGTCCTGTCATTACTTTCCAAGGAAAGAGGAGAACAAGGCAAATTAATTTCTTCTATTTTAATCTATAAAATCTACTTTAATTGTATAAGTAAAAAACAATGCATGACTCAAATATTTAACTATGAATGTGTAATCAGTACAAAGCAGTCGAGAACCTACTGTGAACTCGGCACTTTTTTTTTAAAAAAAGCTTGGTATAAAAATACTGGTTCCACTAACTCCTCTCCCAGCAACACCCTTAGCTTTCCCTGGAGTTCTCCCATCCAAGTATTGGCTTGGCTCACTCCTGCTTAGCTTCAGTGGGTTGTGACTTGTGAATTGCATTATCATATGGTAGGGATGGTGTTACATGGCTGAAGGCTGTGGTCAGTTTCCACTGGGCATAGTGCTTTGCACTTAAACCAAAATATATACATTTTTGCCCAATAATTTGTTCTGAATTTTTCCCGCATGGTCTCAGGTCACATGCAAACTCCATGCATGCTTTTCCATGGGCTTTTCTTAGGAGCGGTTTCCATCTAGCCGCTCTCCCATAAAGGCTAAACTTGTGTAGTGTGTTACGGTTGACATCCCTCCCCTAGAGGGCACTCCATTTTACTCCTGTCAATAGTTCCCTGTGATTGTTCATATGTGTTCCAGGTGTGCCTTGTTGTCTTCTCATATTTATTCTTAGCTCCTCCAGGGCTCAGGGTTCAACATTAGGTTACGGATGTCGCGAGGCCTGCTTAGCACCAGGAAACCCTACGGCCATCTCCTGAGGGCATAGGCCTTATCCCTGACACCTCTTGTTTTCCGAGCCCGGGGTCTGGAGGACCTTGCCCCATTACCCCAGGTTCTCCATGTCCATCGTCTGTTCGTGTTTTCCCCATTCCTGGGGATTTTAACCTTGTTACGTCTCAGGACAGATCTATTGTTAATGGACTCTTGGACTGTGCCCTGACCCTCCTTTGGACCCGCTCAGATTTGGATGCCATTCTTTGTCTCCCCTGCTCACTGTCTCATGGACTGTCACTGTTATTTTGTGCACCATTAAACCCCTGTGTGTTTTCTCATACTACGCCTCCTGTTTCCTCCAGCTCTTACCGCATTGCATAGGGTCTACTACAAAACCCGACACGGACTGCAGACCCTGTCCATAACATAGTGCTGCAGAGATCGTTGTCCTCCTATCTCAGCCATGGTAGACCAAAGTCTTTCTTTACAAGTTGCTGAGTATTAGAGAACAGCCTAGAAAGAGTCTGGGTGGATGTGTATTGTTTCCACTTTATAAAGATGGACCTGACTGTGGTCATGGGAACATTGAATACCCTAGATATGTTTTTATAACCCCCCAGATCTGTACCTCCTCACAATTCTATCAGAACTGTACAGATAGCTCTGTTCTTCTTGACAGGGTTTCTGGGCTGACATGAATCATCAACAGAGGGAGCTTACTATATAGACAGGTGTATTTCTCCTGAAATAATGTCAGCCAGTTAAACTGACAGAATCTGGACTCAATTCACATTTGAAATAAAGAAGTACCTGGGCTCAATGTGGAGTGCCAAAGTAAACAGGGGTGAATACAATGCATTTCAGTGTTTTCTTTTTTACATGTAAGCAATTTCAAGAACTTTCATTCCCCTTTGACACTTAGAGTAATTTAGGTAGATCAGCATTAGAAAATCCCACTTTCAATGTGTGACTGAGTTGCAACATAAAAAATATTTTAAAAAATGTCTGAGAGAGCAGAGCAGCAAAGGAACAAACAAAGGTTAATTTCATATTGGAAAGTAGAAAGAAGAAAAAGTACAATGTTTTGGCTGTGAAGCATCCTTCATGTACATGATCTGATTACATTGTACACAGCTGAGATTTACATTTTAATTTCACAAAAGGACAAAGACAGATAAATTGCTTTGATAATTGAACCTCTTTGCAGTTCGTTCCTGAATGATGTCAGTTCTTCTGGCAGGTTTGATTTTCATTAGTGCTACTTTACGATGCATAGAATAAGACTGTTCAAGAATCTGCATTTAATTTCCCTAATTTTGTCTACACCATGATATTTGTATTGCTACTCATCTGGAGTTCAATGACATGCAACCAGGAACTGCAGAAATAGAAATCAAAGTAATTTGACAAACAACAATGACTTAGATAATGTTCGGATGCATGACTTTGTTATATGCTGTTTGGATGCTTTTATTTAGTTGATTTGTATCAGTGCACAGTTACAGCCAACTGTGGAAGATCCCTTGTGGAAGTGTAATCAGGGACCTTCTAACAATACCTATAACCTTGTTTATGGTTAGCTTCCAGTTTAACGCCTGGAGTATTCTTCCTTCTTCATTAGCACTGGGGACCCACCTTTGTTCTCTTAACCTGCTAAAGATGACCAGAAAACTATTGTTAACATTATTACACAACACTTCTCTTTGCCTTTTTATAATACAAGGGCTACTACTACTCTTAAGACTTGCACAGTTTGTCGGGCTTTACTAACTGTGCTTATTAAGGATAGAGTGTGACTCCTCCCGTGCTCAGCTGTAAATGATTAGCTAGATTAACCCCGTAACCTCCTTCATCTGTGTTTCCCCATGTGCTGGCTGACATTCCGGCAGTTTGACGCTGTTTGTTTGTTTTAAAAATACATGACCTATGAGAGAGGTTGGCGGTGCCTGGCTTGTCCCTCCCATCCTCCCCTGTTTTCTCCATGGTTACGCATGGGCCTCTAGCGGCCATGCCGTTGCTAAAACATCCTGCCAAATCTTCACTGCTCTGTAAGAAAATGGCTAAAGATACTCTACAGAGAGGGTTTCATGGGCATTGGGATGTTTTAATCTATTTTTTAATTTTGTTTTTGTCTTTAAAAATTATGAATATGTAGGTGGATAAAGAAATATAAATGAGGCCCAATATAAAAAAGTTGTGAAAATTGTTAGGAGATAATTCACAGCAGGGAACAAGAACTACATTAGTTTTGACATATACTGTGAGAGATAAGACATCTATGGATATAGTTCAGTCTAGTGTATTTTATCATTCCAAGTATTAATGGAATGGAAATCTGCTAGACGGAAGAAGATGACAGAAAAAAATAAAATGAAAATGTTTTGGTGTGTAGACTGTCACTTTTTAAAAATAAAATCTTAGTTGCCATTTTATATCTACTATTACAGAGATGGGGCTATAAGATTAATGGGGCTTTTTAAGTCCAATAGAGAAGTGAACAAAAAAAGTCCATCTTTCAGAGTTTCAATCACTAAGTGCCTCGGTAGCACTGCTTAGGAGAGGTTCTGCTACCGAACCCCAGACAGTCTTGTGAATATTCTTTTATAGGGCTCTTAATTGGTAGTACAGGTGGTCTCAGTGATGGGAGAGCCCTGTATTCTGGCTGTTTTGGAGGAATGTTCAGAGGGCTGAGGAACGTTTTCTTTGATGTGAGGATCTATCTGTCACGGATGTCCAAAGGGACTAACCGTGGGGAGCAGGAGAGCGGAAAAAGACCCATATGCGTAGCGGCGAGACGGGAAAAAGGCCCGGGCTCATTAGTGCAAAGAGTTCAGGAATGCAGTATAGAAACCTATGCCCTCAGGGAGAGGACGTGGGGCGCCCTGGTGCTAGGCGGGTCTCAGGACATCCGAACGTCAATGCTGAGCGAGGACAGAGTGCAAGACCCGGAAATATATAGCCCAAGGGAAAGAGAGGGACAGGAAGGACAGCAGACCGGAAACTAGGGACAGGACAGAGAAGGAGCGCCGCCTGGCTGCAGAGGGCGTGACACTATCTGTTGTGTCACAGAACCCAATCTGAAATTGCCACTATCTTTATGTTTCAATTTGCAGTAATGACTTTTGTACTGCACAGTGAGAATGAGAAAGTGCAGACAGGCTAATGTAAGTCTTCCACCCATTTGAAACATTAATCTTATCTACTGACAACCTGTAAGCGCAGCACCAATTTACAGAAGGGTTTCTACCAAGCAGATTGTCCTTCACTGAGGACACAATAAGCCCACGCGTACCTGTCAAGCCACGTGAGCTGCTGTTACA